TTGTGATTTACCGCAAGGGGTCATCGGAGTCGTCCTGTTCGGCATCGCCGTCTTCGACAGTTCCATCCATTTCCACGATTCGTTCCTCTTCGTCATCGTCATCAATGGAATCTTCACTGGCCTCGTCGCCGACTAAATCAAAAATAAAAACACTTTCATGCTTAAAAAATGATGACCATATAAATGAAAAGCAGGTTTTCATTAGTGCGAACAATGGAGTAGGTCATACCGACAAGTGATTGCGAAGCAGCAACAACAGGAATGTTTGGAATACAGTCGCCGCCTTTTAAGAGGTCGAGAGATGCCCCCACTAAGCTGTCGACGGTTGTCTTCTTAAGCTTGGCTCTGCGGGCGATGCGTCGAATCTTTACAACTTTCTTAGCGTGTATCGGGCAAAACCTGAAGAATTTCAAATCATGTCAGGCAAACAACTGATCAATCTAACAATATAACTGAACGAAGCAAAAGGTTATGATCGACACTGTAATTAAGTAAAAATGACCATTATTACAAACGATGTTTACCACTGTCACTTACAAAAAGATTTTGCAACAGAGATAGATTTGAGTCGAGTAATTAAAGTAGCGATGTTGAGTTTTACGCCAAAATTTAATCATTATTTATTTAAATTTATCGCTATTTATTAATTACGTAGAAGTGGTTAGTCTTCTTCAGACGAGGATTCGGTCAACGGTAAAACAAGGGCATTGTTCGAGTATACACAGCATCTCGCATTGTTACGCCGCGGAATTAAGTTGACGGAGTTTACCTGATTGGCAGAGGATGAGGACTACTAAAAATACCGCTCCTCTGAAGCTACTGCCCACACCATCAAACAAGAGAACAGCTGAAAATTAATAACGATTCAGAGCGGTCCGTAGACTATAACCACAAAAGGTACACCAGCAGCATAACCTCGTTCACACAAGATAAAAGAATAAACAAATAGTATCACCGACTACCGAGTAATGAATTCGATAACTTGAAAAACCGATTACTTATGTGAAAATTCTTCGCTTAACGGATAAAAGTATAAAATATTACACCGATACCCTCCTAAGTCCAACCAAAGTGGGAGGATGGTGACAAGGGATTTTCAGCTGAGCCTCTGCTTTCTAGCAGGCTCAACCACGCTGTGAAACATTCAGAAATATACCTGATAAAGTGTAAGAAACAACATTCACCTACCAAACAGATTAGCGTGGTGAGCTATAGCTAAACCTTCAATAATTAAATCGCGATGGAAGCCGCGGCCCTCAATTCAAGTTAACAGAATTACCACCAAAGAAGGAAACAGGTGTTCACGCAGAAATACAGACGCTTCAAAGATTTAACCGTAAGATTTAACAAAATATAACCCCGATTACCTGGGGTAGCTACCA